CCCCCCCACCCCGCCGCTGTCCCTCATTGCAACTTTGAATTGCAAAATACTACCACCACCCGGGTGGTGCGGGCGCGGGCCCCGGCCGTGTGAGTCAGGGACGAGAAACTTGACGCTTGACTTGCGTCCAACGTCCAACAACGTTGTGCCCGCCCCTACCGCCCCTACAGCTCCTACCGCCCCTGCCGCCCCTGCCGCCCCTTCCCAGCGGGTGGTGGGTGGTGTCACATCCGGTGCCCAGCGCAGCCCTGACGTCATTTTTATTCCCCGGGAACTAGAAGGGGAATAGAGGAATAGTAAGGGCGCGGCGCGGATGGAGAAATAGAAGACGGATGCCCCGCAATGTTGACAATGTCAGCGTTGTGTGCGCATGTGGACGCGTATGTGGAGGAGGAGGGGAGCCATGCTCAAATTCCTTTCCGCTCTTTTTATTTTATGTTGCAATGAAGTGCAGGCATGATGATGTTATCGAGGGAGGATAAGGCCCGGGCCCTTCGGGTCGGAGTTCCTCGGAGGGAATGTCTGAATTGGCGGAGGAAAAAGGGGGGGGGCAGCGACCCCAGGCCCCGGCCGCCCCCTCCCTGCAGCAGTGTCTCTGTTCGCGCGGGGTATCCGCTTGACGCTCCCCTGCCCTCCGCCTCCGTCTCCCCCCACCCTTCCCCATCCCCAACCCCAACCCCTGGGTCAGCGTGATCTTTACCCGCTCATTCCCTGTAAAAGTTCCTTCTGGGCCACCAGCGGTCACCAGGTAACAGCAAACGCACGTAAACACCGACTGTTTACCCGGGTTAGATACTACATAGAGAGTAAACATACGATAGGGGTGGTTGGGTGGGGGGCGTGCCCTTCCTTGGCGGTTTGCAGTTGTTGGAAGTATTGCACGAGTATGCAGGGCAGACGTTTAATTGGCAAAAGTCAAAGCCGGTAGAGTGCAATCTTTTACAGCATGATAAAAGTGAATATCCTATCACAGGAAACGTTTGGCCCGCTACCCTTGTCGGAGCAACTCTTAATGCCAGTTTTGTGCGTGCGTGCGTGCGTGCGTGCGTGCGTGCGTGCGTGCGTGCGTAAGCGAGTGCGTGTGCCGCCGGGCTGGCCTACAGGCGGGGCGGCGGAGAAGCCCTCCTAGTGCCTCGCTGGGTACGACGGAGCTGGCGAGCAGCCCGGCACACTGTGCGGCAAAATCGCGCCTGTCGTTCGTGGGTAGAAGAACTTGATGTGAGGGACAGCCTTGCCATCCAAGCGCTCGATATTTTTTGAGCACGTGGCGCTCAGTTTTCAATCGATTTTGTTCAAATGGATCAAGTAACCTTCCTACCGGGTGTTTCAAAACGCACACCGCAGTGTTGCGGGTTTGCCTAACTCCGTAAGGCGCCATAGCACCAGCTGTTCTACTCATTGCAAACCCTGCAAAGCAATGCTTCGAATGCCCAAGGAATATGCTCTGCAGCTTAAAGGACTTGGCCACTTAACAATTCACAGCAAAATTACAACACTGAATAAAGTGTCAGCCCCCGCCCTGAAACCCCCTGTGCTTGTACCTTACACCCTGTCGATAGATATTTTATGTCTGTGGCTGAGCCTTCAGTCACATGTCTGGATTGCTCCGAATTCCGGGATGTCATGGCACTGTTTTTTTTTTGGCGGCGCGAGAGCCAGGCGATGCTGCGCGTTCGTAGCCCCCTTGGAGAGCAGGGCTCGCAGATTAGTCAGCAGACGGGCCGCATTAAATCTGCGTATATTTACCTCCCTAACTGCCTAATGACTGTCATCAGCGGCCTCCCGCCCGTCACGGCCGTCACGGCGACGACAGCGGACCAGCCAATGCTCTCCTCTGCAAGAGTGAGTGGGAGCGGCTCATCGGCGACACCAAGCTTTTAATCCTTTCCGAAAGCGCTCGTGTCGACAGGGCGTTCCAGTCTACTTAATACCGAAGTAAAAAGAAGTACGAACAAACTCCCACCTCTCGTACCGAAAAGGCAGTGTTCGAAACTGTCATGGCCTCTTTTACGGGGCCGCACCCAAACCACGTGGCGCATTTGGGGCCAAGTCACGTGGGTTTTTCATTTTGTCGAAAATATTGTGTTTCCACGCCTCGACTTTTGTTCACCTGCTAATGTAACCATATTTTTAAAACTCTCACTCAAGAATCGATGCTTGAAAGCAAAGCAGATGATATTTTCCTCTTAAAACTATATGATCTAATTTTCTCTCAT